AACCTACAGTATCTTCTCATTGAATATCAGACAAAATAGCAATGCCTCTTTCCTGTGTGTAAAGCAGTGAATCATTTGACCATCCTCTAGTTGCTAAATCAGTCTCCTTGATTGGGACAGGTGGTCCATCTACTTAGACCATTTACTGTATCTTGGCTTCCTGCTCCTCCCTCTGCCCAACCTCCTGCCTAGGACAGTTTCCCTTCCCCAGCCTGCTGCTTTCCATTAGAAGAGGGGCTAATCTTCTTGACACCTTCATGTGCCCTCTTACCCAGACCCTACATTTTAGCTCCAAAAAGTGATCTGAACTTAAGTGTCATCCCACAGCTGACTTCTATGTGACCTTGCATGTCCCCCCAACCCCCGCTATGTAGGTTAAAGTCACATCTGGTTCAGAGTTCTGCCCTGTAGCATCTCTGAGTGGTTCCTTCTGTCTTCAGCCCATAGCTCAATAAGTCTTAAGGCTTTGGGTGCTAAGGGGAATGAACCAGATGCTGCCCTCAGGAAGCTAACACTCCGGTAGGGAAGACAGACAGAAGTTACAAAGCAGAAAAAGTACAAGCGTGGAAGAATGTGCCAGGCAAAGTGGTGATGGATGTTCCAGGGGACTAGGTCTAAGCAGCAGAACAGGTCTACAGGGGGTGTTACTGCTTCTGTATGCTGAAGACTGAGCACTTTGCCTGGCAGCCAAGTGAGACATTTCCAGGGAAGGAGTTGCATGGACTTGGCTTTTTCTTTCTGAATCTCCTGCATGTGCGGGTCCAGTTAACATCACATTACCCGCTCTGGGAAATCATTTTCTTAACCAACATCTTGAGATCCTCTAAGAAAAAGATACTGCTTTTAGACAAGAAGGATTATATTGAGCAGTACAAAGTATAGGCTTCTTTGGTTTTAATATTTAGGGACTAAATAATGAGAGTATGTCAATTTGTCTATAGAAAGAGAAATTAAAAGATGTTTACTTTTTGGTGCAAAAATTTGAAATCCATGCTTATGAGTGCTTTTCAGATAATGAAAAAGAAGGAATTTCAGAATTTTAAAATAAACTTGCCTTAATTTTATTTTTATATGAAGTTTTAAAAACAGGTGTTTAGTTTCATCTGCTTGAAGGGCAAAAATACAGAGAAAGGGAAAGGGAGAGAGGTCTTTCATCTACTAATTCACTCCCCAGATGGCTCCAACATCCAGGGCAGAGGCTGGCTGAGGCCAGGAAGCAGGAGATTCTTCTAGATCTACAATGTGAGTGGCAGGGGGCCAAGCATTTGAGTCATTATCCATTTTTTGGCAGCATGAAGTAGCAAGAAACTAGACCAGAAGTTGAGTGGCTGTGACTTGAACCTGTGCCCTGATATAGAACTGGGGACCCCAAGTAGCAGCCTAACCTACTATGCCATGATGTTTGCCTATCAAAATGTTTTTATACCAAAATACTTATCTTTGTTTCCAATTTACATGACTTTGATGAAGTGCCTCTTTTACTCACTGGAATTTGCATGTGTATTTTATTTCATTCTGCTGTAGAGATTTGGGTTGTTCTCTTGTCCAACATTCTGAATTCTAACAATTTATTTCTCCCTGCCTCTGTCTCCCATATCCATCCCTTCCTTTATTCTCATTGTGAACAAGATGGCTGTGTTTTTGATTGTGGAATCAAATAAAACTAATAGGGCTATTAAGGGGATAGAAGTTGTGACCTTAAGCTTCCAGTTTAATGATTTAAACCAGCAAGTTAGCCAGCTATATAGTTGTGTGCACACATAATTCCTACATGATTTTGCAGTCATGATAAATCAACACAAAGGATCCCCATCAGATGTGGCTTATTGAGACCCTTGGGTTCTTGAAATAGATTTGCTTCTGCCCTGATGCTCTACTAACTCAAACTTCTCTACCTTCCCCCAAATATTTGTCTGTAGTGTGGCAAAATGAAATAGAATGGAGTTTGTGAAGATTTGGCTACTTGTGGCAAAGAGTTTGGTGGCTTTATTTTTTTGTGATGATGAAAGTGACAGATTTGACAGCTAATTGCTTCATAATATCTCAATTTCTTCCTTGTCCCATATTAATAGAACCCCTGAGTTTTAGGTGGGCATGCAATTACCCAGAATAAAGTTGCATTCCCATGCTCCCTTGCTGCTTTGCTACTCCCTTGTTGAACCCAGGGCTTTGGGGTGTGGGAATAGGACTGGGGCGAATCCTTTAAGACAAAAAAGGAGCCCTCCCCTTCCTGTCTTGACCGCCTGACACCCTGCACCCCCACTTACTGTGACTGTCCAGTGTGACTGTGGCTGTTTTCTCTCGTGTTCCCTGAGGATGAGGGGACTCTCTGGGTGAGAGAGCGAAAAGAAGCCTGGGACCCTGATTGGAGCCCACCTCTGGTCTCTAGGCTCCTCACATTCAGTGCTGTTAGGACAAAGAGGAATATGCTGTTCTGGCAGAACTCTTTATTTTAGGCCTATATTTCAGCAGCTAATCACTACTTTGGGGGGGTTAAAAAAAACTTGGCTCATACAGCATCAGCTGAGTGATATGAACAAGATGAGAAAAAATACTTTAAAAGATATTTAATGACTTTTTTTTTTCAAATCAGTACAAAATTTAAATACAAAAGTGATCTGCTAGTAAGTCTCAAATCTATCATGGAAACCCAAACAAGTTACCAGTCTGTTGACCATCCATCATATTCTGTAAAATATTTGAGAACAGTCACCCACTACAGACAATTTTTCCCCTGTAGGATGTCACACTGCTTCAAAACTCTGTATTTAAATAACAATAATGCCAGTTTGGTCCATTTTACATGGGAAAGTTCTAGTTCAGCCTGGATTAAATAGGGATGTCAACACTAACCCTAGACTTTAGAACATGTTGTTGTTTCACCTGCTTTTATGCTAATGTGTCAACATGATGTGCAAAAATTAAAGGGCAAACACAGGCACAAAGATCATTAATTAAAACTTTTAAATTAAATGGAGTATCATTTAGCTCCGAGATTAGCACCATCAAAGAATATATAGTATCAGGAATTGGTTTTGCTTCTCCCCCATCTGGAAGTTAGAAGCATATGCCTAATAACACATACATACACACACACACACACGCACACATGCTTACATAGTATAGGCAATTGAGTAACAACCAATAAATAAGTTGGAAGATACTTTGAAAGTGAAATTTGGTTTTAACTAAAGAGATAATTTCTCTTGCCTGGTGGAAACTAATAGCCCATACATGTACAGATAAATACAGTTTTACAAATCAATGGATCTGAACTGTCTCCAAGCCATTTTAATGCAGCTGTTTAAGCAGAAGGGGTGCAATGAACCCACATCTCTTCCATTTTCATCACCCTCAAGCCAGCAGCCACAGGACTAGCTCAGAGTATATTTGGCCACGTGAGTGCTGTCTGCTTTGAACTTGAAGGTTGGGTAGAGCATATTTTTGAAGTGTGTTATCCAACCAGCAATGAATAAGGAATTTTTCTTAAGATTGAAAATAAATAGTGCAGTGTACTACCAAAGGAAAAACACAGATATTAGGCTGTAAGAACTATTTTGGTGATGGTAAAAATGATTTGTATTTGACCTAGACACATTTCCATGTGTTTTTTATACTGTATTTGTTTGTATTACTCTTTGCATTTTGGGAAAAAGATATAGGATGCCGCCACCAGAACCTCACATTATTTCCCCAAATGGCTAATAGTATTGGCAGCAGGCTAGTAGCAGCCATGAAATGGTTTGTTTTGCCTCTGAGGTCAGGTTAGAATGGCCAAAGCAGTTAACTGTGTGGTTTAGTGAAAACTTGGAAAAGAATTTCTTCCTTTCAAACTTGCACTGAGAAGGGCCCAACATGAGCACCATGGGCTCTTGCCTTCTTTGACCCTCCGGGTAACTCTTCTCTAGAAATTCTCTTCCTATAATTTTGGAGTATGTTTTCTTTTTCAATTTCTGGCTTAAGGATTATGTTTTCACAGAAAAAAAATAGTAATTGTGAAAAATTTTGTTCTCAAGTGAAGAATTGGCTTAGGTTTTGGAAATTGACTTTGGTACCTCAAAGGCTACATTGATTCACACAGATACTTAAAAACCACCAATATCTGCTTGACTGAAACCCACTGTGCATGTGTATGGGATAAAAGAGGGGAACTATCCATGCATATGAACATAATTGATAATTACTAGTCATATATATTCCACAGACCTGAAAAAAAGCTACTGCAGGAGATGTCATTTTTCCTTCTTATAACTTGCAGGTATTTATAGTTGGGCCAAAATGTAAATTACATGGAGAGAAGGCATAGAAAAAAAAAAGAAGCCCTTGAGGCATAAATGAATTGATTTCTGCTCTCTTCTCCCAGCTGGTGTGTTAACTCCACTGAGCAGGTGCTTGGTTCGCATGTTCTTTCAGAGATCCCTGATGCACAATTCTAACAAGGACTTCTGTTGCTAAAAGACACAGCCTCCGGCACAAAACACAGACTCTTAGAATAAAGCATTGCTCAGGTCCCGTGGCCCCCACACACTGGGGCAGTAACAAGACGGATCCTTTCCCAACCTTCCCTGGCAAAGTATCTGCACAGATACAAGTACATACTGTAGGTCATTGTTATGATTGACTTTTCTTTAAGGCACATTTATAAATACTTTAAACAAGGTGAGCAGGTGACTCTCATTAGCTATGATCTTCCATTTACAATATTCTGGCTGATCTGAACAAGCAGGTTATCATGGCAGCACATAACATACAATGGATAATATGATTCCAGTGGGTACAACACAGGTGTCAGTACTTGATACATAAATCTACCCCATCATTTGCAATTACAAGCTGCTGTGCAGAGGATTAAAATCATGCATCGCAGTTTTTTATTTGTACATGATGGTCCAACTTTTCACTTAAATATAACTTTCCAACTATATAAATGTTTTGAAACAAAATTAACGTGTTTCATATGGATTGGGGGTGCATTTTCTTTTGCTCTATTAAATCTCTCTTTTTTACATGGGATACAATAAATATCCTGAAAAGGAGGAGTGGACGTACTGGCCAGCGTACAGTCCCGCAGCCTGTTCCGATGGCATCTGGAGGAACACACGGTCTCCAGGTCGCAGCAGCAGCACTGCACTGCCAGACGCCTGGTCCAGGAAGCCCTTCTTGTATTCGTCGTACGTATACATCATGGGCTCGTTGTTCTTGAACAGAGCAACCCACACGTTGCCTCCTTTGCAGTGAACATGGTATGCAAAGTAGTAGACCCCGGGCACCTCACAGGTGAAGATGCCCGTCTGCGGGTTGTAGTTCTGCCTGCCGTTATATAGCAGTTTGTCGAACTTCACCGGAGCCCCCACAGGTGGGAAGGGTGCTGTCAGCTCGGCCGTGAATGCGGGCATCTCATAGGCTGGTCCTCCATTCTTGCCTTTCTTAGCGCCATAGGCATGGGGAGTTTTCACCCCATCAATCCCCAGTCCCATGTCTGGCAGATACTCTCCCTGGGGGGCTGGTGTAGGGGGCATCACAGCTGGCAGCCCCGGTGGTCCTGGAGGGCCTGGTGGACCTGGCAGGCCAGGCTGCCCTTGGGGACCCAGGGCTCCAGGTTTCCCTGGTGGTCCATGAAGTCCTGCGACTCCCGGCTTCCCAACTCCAGGGAACCCTGGGGGCCCTGGGAGGCCTGGCTCTCCTTTGGGGCCTGGGATCCCTGGCGGTCCAATGGGGCCACTTGGCCCTGCAATCCCTGGGATCCCAGGAGGGCCCTGCAGACCCTGATCCCCTGGGATGCCTGGTTCTCCCTTTGGTCCAAGTAGCCCTGGGACACCAGGGAGCCCTGGCAAACCTTTGAGTCCGACTTCCCCCTTGGGCCCTATGGGACCTGGTAAACCCCTTACACCTGGTGGCCCTACTTCTCCAAGAAAGCCTGGCTTGCCTGGAAAACCCTGAAGCCCAGGCTCCCCCTTGGGACCTGGTGGCCCCTGTGGCCCCACGGCTCCACCTTCTCCTTTGGGTCCAGGAAAACCAATGGCTCCTGGAGGGCCCATGGGCCCTGGGATTCCAGGCAGGCCTGGCTCCCCTGGGGGACCCCCCATTCCAGGGGCCCCCACAGGTCCTTTCTCTCCCCTGGGTCCAAGAGCACCAGGAACACCCCCCACCCCACGGTCACCTTTGGGTCCTGGGAAGCCTGGTTTCCCCACACCTGGAAGACCTGGGGGTCCTGGCAGCCCTGGCAGGCCTTGCTCCCCCTTGCCACCTGGAAATCCTGGCTGGCCAGGGATCCCATCTTGGCCTGGTTTTCCTACTCCAGGCAAGCCAGGAGGTCCTTGCACTCCTGGTACTCCAATTGGGCCCTGTGGACCAGGTTCTCCTGGGGGCCCTGGCTTTCCTAGAGGGCCCTGTGGCCCAGGGAAGCCTGTCACACCCGGTTTGCCCACTCCTGGAAGTCCCACGGGGCCAGGGGGTCCGTGCATCCCTGGGGGACCCTTAAGGCCTGGCAGACCTGGCATCCCAAAGCCCTTCTCTCCCTTAGGGCCCTGCAGGCCTGGAGGTCCTGGCGGGCCCTTGGGTCCTCGATCACCCTTTGCTCCCGGCTGCCCTGGCAACCCTGGCCCACCTGGTTTCCCAATGCCAGGAAGTCCATGAGGCCCTGGAGGTCCTTGTGGTCCTGGAATGCCCATGGGCCCGATTTCACCTTTGGGTCCAATTTCGCCTTTTGCCCCGGGCATTCCCATGGCTCCTGGCTTCCCTGGCATTCCTGGCATACCTGGCTTTCCAACTCCTGGGTATCCCTGTGGCCCTGGTTTTCCTTTGATTCCAGGTATTCCTTGACCTGGCAAACCGGGAGGCCCAGGGGGTCCTCTTGGGCCAGGTTCTCCACGGGGACCTTGTTCCCCTCGTAAACTGGCTAATGGAATTTCTAAGAGAGAGAGGGAGAAAGGAAGAAAGAAAAAAGATTAAAATTGATTATTCCTTATTTCAAAGATGTAAAAATAGTCATTATCTAGTTGTTACACATTTTCCCATTTCTTACTGAGAGAAGATAGGAATGGCATGATATCACTACTTTCAGAAAAGTAAAACTAATAATTTATTTGATGCACTTGAGGATTTGCTTTGAGAACTGATACATTTAGTTGCTTTTATCAGGATTGGTGAAGTGAGAAAGTCTAGAAGCAATTAAGCAACATCTCTGGAAGCACAAAACTTGGGGGAATATTAGGGCTTGTTCACTATGGAGAATTTAGGAACTCAAAAAGGTATAAAGAAAATAAAAACTGCTTTAGAAGCTCCCTACTCAGAGATAATTAGCTAACATTTGTATATATTTTCATCTTATTTATCCTAGGTATAGTTTTGTATGAAGGATTTTCAAAAGGGAAATGTATATTATGAAAAATACTATGCATTAATTTCAATTTTTTTGGTACCAAAATAAGCTTATCTTTTGCTTCCATTTTCCATTAGTGTTTTGAAGTACTTTAAGGTGGGTATATTTCATTTTCCTGTTGTTATTCTGTTGAAGCTTTGTTTATTTGAGGTGTAGGGGGAGAATATATACTGGTTCGTTCTGCAAAGGCCCAAAATAGCATTTGGAATTTACTTTTTTAGTGATTCTAAAATGCACAGTTTTCACTGTGTTGTGGAATAGAGCTCAAAACCAAAAAACAACAATATCAAAAACTGCCTTAGCCAAACTTATTCTTGTCTGGGGCCTAATAACGTTTGATTGTCCCGGTCTCTGTTAAGCACCATTGTATTCTCTGTATGAGTTAATTGATTGCTTCAGGACCCACACATGCAGAATCTTCAAACTGGTGGTGGAAGATGAATATTAGGAAAATAGTGAATAGGTTTCAAATTCTTTGCACAATAAACTTTGATAATCTTATTTTCTCATGGACTTTTTGAAGTTCTCTTAAAGTGAGAATATGCAGCAATTTCTGGGTCTATCTGATTTTTCATATAATAATTAAATCTAGATAAATTTGCTCATATACTGAACTACAGTGTGATCTTAATGATGAAAGTCATTATAATGTAGATTCATGAAACATGACATTTTACTGGCTCAATAACATCTTCCATGTATGTCCTCAGGAACTGATAGGTTTATTTACTTTCTTTAATGTGCCATAGGATTTATGATTATTTCACATATGTGATTTTACTTTTCAACAAGAGAGGTGGCTTAGAAGAAAGTTCAGCTTATCTTTCTGGCTTTGTCATAAGATCTTGATTGGGTCATTTAAGCCATCACCATCTCTACTTGTCTAGCTCAGCAGCAAAAACAATGTAGCCATACTTCAAGATAAGAGGCTCTGAAAAGCTTAGTGCTTTCTTGAATTGCTATTGAAATACAAATAGGATTTTGCTATAATGATTAGGCTGTGCCTTTCAGATAAACACAACAGTGAGTATTCTGTGATACTGGAAATAATGGAGAAATGAAATACTGAAGAAACGAAATATGTGATACCTACATCTTATTCTAATCAATTGCGACATCTTAATCCTAATCATTGTACTTTTCACTGAGCTACTGCCAGGGAACAAAAGACAACCACAGAACATGTATCCTTTTCAGGCAAGAATAAATAAAGCAGTTGCCAAGAACCAGGTTGAGACAGTCTCCTAGGTGGTGAACTACCTCCTGAAGACAAGAAAATCGGGTATATTTCTCTTATGTAAATAGACATTGTGATAGTGCCATCAAGGCCTCCTTTCTTTAAGCGGGTGCTGGATGGAGGGAATGTCTGGGAGGAGAGTCGCATCTTCTGCATCAGAGGATCCTGGTACTCAGTTTGGTGCCCTGAACACACTTTGCTCTTATTGAGAATTTGTGGAATGACCAGGTGTAGCAAATCAAGTTTCAGTCTGGCCTTGATATTTACCTTACTTACATTTTGAATTCTCTCAACTATGCGGTTTTACAGGTGAACAAAAATAATCTGACAGAGGCCAAATTACTAGGGTCTCCCTCATCTCCCATATCCAAGCCCCTAGGTTTCTTATTGCCAAGCCCTGTAATTCTCCAGAGGTGGGACTTTCTACCACAATAGGGACTGAGCAGGATGGCCCTAAGGTAACTATCTCTCCAATGCAGCTGATTTTCCTACAAATACTAGGTTTCTAAGGACTCCAGGTGAACCTACTGGACTGAAAAAGTGTGTCATAATGACCATAGTGAAGGTCATTTTGTAGGTACTGAATAGCTGGTGAATATGACAAGAAAGGAATGGGAACAAAGTTTAGATATCATTTCCAGGTGCAGCTTGTACTCTAGTCTCTATTTGCTGACTGACATGTGGAGCTTTATTAGAGTCATAGTAAAAACGGTGATCTCATGCCTGGTTTGCAAAATGCTTTCACATGATTTTTTTTTCTATCCAGCAAGTCCTTACAACATTTTTCTTCTGGGGTAGAAGAATGGCTTACAACCTTTACTTTGTTTTACTGTTTTATTCTTCAACATCTTACCCAAAATCTGACACAAAAATATGTGCTCACTAGATAGTTGTTGAATGTTTCAATAAAGAAATAATAAAGAGATAGACTATTAGTAATTACATTTTGCTTCATAAGATGCTAGTTAAAATAATAAAGCAAATCATGAAATGGTCATATTTTCTGTATCTTTCTTTGACACTGCTACAGTTTGAATGTGGCTTCCCTGCACCCCCAAAATTTCCTGTGTTGGCATCTTAGTCCTCAGGGAGCGAATGTGAGACCTCACCTGTAAGAGGTGGGCCATGGTAATAGTCAGTGGGTTGCAGGGGGCACTGCCATCAAATCGGATTAAGACAGTTTTCAGAGTTCATGCTTAGAGGTTGGTGTGAAAGAGGCAGCCTGATTGTTCCATTGCTCTGGCTTCCTTTCTCTATATAATATTTCCCTCCTACACACACTTTTCCCATGACCCCATTTCACATAGAACAGAGCCAAAGGAGCTGTCAGCAGCTGAATCCATGGGACCACCCAACTGTGGCTTTCAGCTTACAGAAATGTGAGTTCAGTCAATCTCTTCTCTTTGTAAAGCACTGAACTTCAGGTATTTCAAGAAAGCAAGAGAAAATTGACTGATACAGAATTGAACTTTTGAAGAGTAGTTTCTAAACCAGTCAACATTGGCTAAAGGACCATAACAAATTCTGAAATTGAAGGATTCTAAAATGTAGCATGCTCCTTAACCCTGTAATTCAGGAGTTGGGAAAGTTGTTCTATGAGAGCATGAGAAGGTGATGTACCTTTGCCTTTCTTGGGGACTGCTTCCTTGCCCATTCTTGGCACCGGCTGCACTTCCTTCATATACTGGGGGAGGTGTGGATACTCTTTGCCGTATTGCATATGGGGCATCTCCTTGCCCATGGTGAGGCCATCTTTGGCCAAAGGCATGTGAGGTACTTGTTGGCCCATTGGCTGGTATTGTGGAATTTGCGGTGGCATCTGAGGTGGCAGTGGCTTGATTCCATAGTAGGCACCAGCCTGAATGAGCTTGATAGAAGCCAGGGAAATGGTCAGCACCAGTTGTAGCAGCTGTGGAGGGCCAGGCGGCACAGCCATCACCTGTGGAAGCAATGAAGGCATCACATAGTGAGCACTTACAGGCCAAGTGGCTGGCATTCACTGAGACAGAAGGAAGAAAAAGTAAAAATGGAAGCAGTTAATCACAACTTCATGGGTGGAAAGCAAATGAATGGGAAGACACTATCTTTTAACCAAGGTAAAATTTAAAAAGCACACAGACAAAATCTAGAAGAAAAGGATCACAGTTAGTGGGAACACAGGCTATGACTGGTTATTCTTAAGTATCTTTTATGTCTCTTTTCTGAATTTTTAAAATGATTTATTTATTTTTTATTGGAAAGGTAGCTCTACAAAAAAAAAGGGGAGACAGAAAAATCTTCCATTCGCAGGTTCACTCCCCAGAGGGCAGAATGACTGGAGCTGAGCCAATCTGAAGCGAGGATCCAGGAGACAGTATCTTCTTCTGGGTCTCCCACACAGGTGTGTGGTCCCAAGGCTTCGGGTCATCCTTTCCTGCTTTCCTGGGTCGCAAGAAGGAAGCTGGATGGGACATAGAGAAGCCAGGACACGAGCCAGTGCCCATTTGGATGCTTGGAAGCTGAAGACTAGCCAATTGAGTCATCATGCCAGCCCTGTCCATTTTCTGTAGTGTTAGATTCCAGAGCCCCTAATTCAATTAGGTGTGGCCATGCAATGACGTTCTGGCTAGTTGGTTGTCACCTTAATGGGTACAACTTTCAAGAACAATGGCAAGATGTGGAAATCCTTGTTTTCTCCTGGCTGGAATGCTGATATGTTAGCTGGATGGACCAAGCTGCTTGGATATGAGTTAAAGCTGTTTATTGAGAATGGTAGAGGATGAAGCTAGATGAAACCTCAGCACTATTTGAACATGGAGGCATCATACAAATCCTTACATTTGTAAATAGTTTTATTTCTAAGCCATCTTTCTTTTGGTTGTTCCACATATACATACAAACATAACCTAATAGAAGATTTTCTGCAAAAAAGAGGCAAACCTGCTGTGACAAGTTAAGCTTTGTTAATAAGCGTCAACAATCTCAGGGACTTCAAGAAGTTCATAGAAAAATAGAAGTCAAAGATCATGGGGAGGGTGAAGTTTGGATTGATAAGTAAGATATAAGTTAGCATGACAGTGCCTCACCAGAATGCCTGGGTTCTACTCCCAGGACAGGGAAAAAAGGGAAAAAATGGGAGAAAAATAATATACTCTTTCCAGGAACTTTAGGAAACTTCCTTGTACTCTAAATAGAAAAATTTATGAGGATTTACATCATGGACAGGTATTTTTCATCTATTAGGTATCACTTAAATGCAGTCTGATACACACACACACACACAAATGTGAATGCAAAATGAATGAGAAGAGCCAGGAACAACACAAATGCTGAATTGCTCCATGTGACAGTTCCCATATGTAATTAAAAATGTGACTATCATAATTATGTACATTAAATTCTTAAATTTAAATGACACAAACCCATTACTTCATAATTAGATTAATTGGATTTGGAAACCCCTTCAAATTTATCTTGATACTTTTATGAAAGAAAATAATTCACAAAGCAAATTAGTTGTACAAATTAAAAATGTTTCACTTCACAAGGATGAACAATTCTTAAGTCCTTTAAATAGTACTATCTACAAATGAGTAGTTAACAGAATAAATGATAATGGGGTTTATCTATATTTATAAAAACCCACTTCAGAACTCTGCCAACACCCTTTGCTCTAAAACTTAGGGAAAAGTGGTGTGCACTGACAAATGCTCACTAGAGGGCAGTGTGGTACACACTGAAGTCTGTTCAAGTTCCCCATTCCCACTCTGTCCTGGTAACCACAGGGGTAATATACCAGCTGTATCCTTACATCTTTCTAAGTGAGTCTATGAAAATCAGAATCTCAACAGGTGTGCCATCACAGAATAGAGAGAGAAGTGGAGGGAGAAAAGTTGGAGAGGGAGAGAAAAAAAGAGGAATTGGCCAGTTTCTTTTTTAATATATCATGCAAGAATCTTCTAGAAAACTTTGAAAAAGACTGTGTCCATAAATAATTTCCATTTTCATGGAAATTTTTTTTTAGTTCTGTTTTAATTTTGGATTTTAGTTTCCCACTTCTTAGCAAATGTGAATTGACTTCGCAACATACTATTCAAAGATAATACGAGGAGTGTGAACAGGCTACAGAAGAGTTGGTTAATAAAAAGCACCTAAGAAAAGTTGTAATATGAATCCTTATCACAAAAGTTACTATTTGATAATTTTTCTAAATATACTAACTAATCATTTTCCTTGTCTGGAGAAAAAAAAAGGAACATTTGTCAACGAAGTTATTTATAACATTTTCTCCATTTTGTAAATCAGAATCATCTCAAGAAATGTTTGTTTCTTCTGAGGATAGGAAGTTGTCATTTTCTGCCCTTCTGGGAATGACTGTTCTAAGCCATTTTGAAGAAGCCACAAAATTAATGTTGATTTGTATCCATTAACTGCCACTTTTATTTTATGTGGAAAGAGAACATCTGTTATAAATGCTTGACAATAATTTACTGAATTCTTACCAGAAACAAAGTTGGGCCCACCCAGCAATGACAAAGATAAATATAATATAGGCTCTAACTCTGCCCTCACAGACCTTATACTCTATGCAAATGACTGATAGCAAAAGATATTTAGAAAAAATTAGCTTTCCCCTCTATTTCTATCTTATAATGTTTAGAATCCTTTCTCTTTGAAGCAATGGATTTTTATCATTTTTTCAGAGATACTCTATGGACATGCAAAATAATATACACATCTTTATAAGTTATAGCACTACACACTTGCTTCTTCTTTGTTTTTTCACACAAAAACAAAGTACTTCACTCAGTATTATGAACCTTATTTCTTATGCAATTTTGTAGCTAACCAAAGCCCTTCAAGTCCTCCATTTGTTAAAAATAAGATTTAGTTCTCATTCTGCCTAGTTGTAACATGCAATGCCTCTAAGATAGTTCTGGAGAGTTGAATGGGTTCATTTGCATTGAAAATCTAATATCTGGTAATGTATAAAGTAAGATTTAATTCTACCTTTGGGGATGGAAGTATGTAATTGTGAATTATGAAGTTGTGATGATGTGTTCAATAATAATCTAGCATACTTGGCCTGTGCTGTTCCATCAGTTCAATGGGTATATGAATGTATTGAATTATAGTTAATGATCTTTTACTGGGACAATCAACTGAAACACTGGAAATCTGTAGGAGGTGGAAAGCTGGGAAGAAGACCAGGTTAATAATACAGACTTAGTGGGATTCTGCTTTACTGCCTCTCTAGGCTTGGCCATTCTATCCCCAAAACCACCTCCTTCACTCGGCCATCTGCCCTGGCTTCCACTCTGAATAGACCATTCAGTTTTAACCTGAGTGCTTATGTGGGGGCCCCAAATAGAACTGACTGCCCTTCTTATCCCTAATAATTTCCCTCCTGTCCCTGAGGATATTTTGTTGTCAGAGAATTGTGCTGGTTCTCCCAAATTACACAAAAGGACATCAGATTTGTGTAACTTGAGGCATGTACCTGGAGGGGTAGAAGGAGCTTTGGAATTCCCACTGGTGGTGCCTCCCGAGGATGCAGAACACTGTGGCATTGTGTGCTCTATTTGATGTTTTCTTTGATTTCTCCCCATACCTCTGGACAGGTGTGTATATATAGATGTGAGCATATCTACTGGATGTGTTCAATGGATCTTTTTCAGCCAAGTTGACTTAGTGATGGCTGACATGTCACACAGAAAAAACACTACAGAGAAAGTTGGAAGTTCTGTGATTGAGTTTTAGCTTTACCATTCTCCAAAGCTGAGACTCAGGGTCCCTTATGTAAATCCCTGGTGTTCACCAAGCCTCAGTTGAAAAGTACCATTCAAATTTAAGTTATTATTAATGGAATGTGACCAAAAAGACAAATCAACTAAAATGGCCAAGACTTTCAAGGAAAAATACTAGCCAAAGCAAAAGTGATATCAACTGCAATAATGATATACCTTCCATGAATAATACAATAATCACCACTAAACCATACTTATTAAAAATGGCCAAAAGGAACAGTTGAACCTCATGAAACTATTCATTCAGAATTCTACTAACAACATCTGCTGGCGTGGATGTGGGGAGAAAGGTACCCTCCTTCACTGCTGGTGGGAGTGTAGGCTAGTACAACCAGTGTGGAAACAATGTGGAGGGCACTTTTCTTCCTTGCCAGCTTTTCTTTCTTGACAATAAATTATTCTAATTGCTGTCTCTCCATCTTGTATATATATGTTTGATTATTCTACAGAAATTCAGGATTGTATATTTATATCTATTAGATTCTAGCTTATAAATTTAAAGTTTAAAATACTTACTTTACTACTTTTAGGAATCACTCTCCAATATATCAGCTGACAAGCTTTCTACTTTGTACAGATCTGGCTAACCAAACTTTGGCTTTTAATCATCTCATTTTCCAAATATCCAGGTCTTTTTGTTATTTGAAATAAAAATTTACATATGATATAGGAGGAGATCTTTGGCTAGTATACTTTGCTTTATGGACTATGGATGCAAATAAAATATTCATGAAGTCAGAAAACCTCTGACAAAGTGAGTCTCCAAAGATGGAGGCCAAATCAAGAAGCTGATAAGCAGATGCTGGTCAGTTTAATGGAGGCAGTGGGCAAATTCAGGATAAAAAAAAAAAAAGAAAGAAAAGAGAAACACTGGTTTTGGCTGATCTTTTGTTAATATCAGTCAGAACTGTGACAGAGTTGTGGTACAGTGGATTAAGTAATTGCTTGAGATGCTTGCACCTTATATTGGGATGTTCAAGTCTGGCTCCTGTGCTTCTAATCCAACTTCCTTCTTGTGCTCTCTGGAGGCAGATGATGTTGGTCCTGTCCCTCACATGGGAGACCCAGCTGCAGCTCTGGCTCTTGCCTGGCTTTGACCTGGGTCAGTCTTGGCTATTGTGAGTATTTGGATATAGAGCTAGTGAATGGACAA